ATGTGTAAAATACGTGCAAGTTGTCAATTTGCAGAATGCGTGCAAGTTGTCAATTTGCAGAATACGTGTAAGTTGTCAATGTGCAAAATACGTGCAAGTTGCTATTTTTATTTAATTTTTGTAATATACTCTAAATAATTAGTAACTTCCAACCTATAAATATTTCGATTCTTTTATAATAAAATATTCAGTATATTTATTTCCTTTTTAACAAAATATTCAGTATTTATATATAATTTCAAACTACATCTAGTAAACTTTTAAGGGACATTTGCGAGTAAGCCTAACCTAGAATCATGCATCGAAACAGGTTAAAAACATTTTCCGGCTTTTTGAAATCAGTAACTTACGGGTACATCAGACTACATCAAGTAAACTGTTAGGGGACATTTGCGAGTAAGCCTAACCTAGAATCATGCATCGAAACAGGTTAAAAACATTTTCCGGCTTTTTGAAATCAGTAACTTACGGGTACATCAGACTACATCAAGTAAACTGTTAGGGGACATTTGCGAGTAAGCCTAACCTAGAATCATGCATCGAAACAGGTTAAAAACATTTTCCGGCTTTTTGAAATCAGTAACTTACGGGTACATCAGACTACATCAAGTAAACTGTTAGGGGACATTTGCGAGTAAGCCTAACCTAGAATCATGCATCGAAACAGGTTAAAAACATTTTCCGGCTTTTTAAAATCAGTAACTTACGGGTACATCAGACTACATCAAGTAAACTGTTAGGGGACATTTGCGAGTAAGCCTAACCTAGAATCATGCATCGAAACAGGTTAAAAACATTTTCCGGCTTTTTGAAATCAGTAACTTACGGGTACATCAGACTACATCAAGTAAACTGTTAGGGGACATTTGCGAGTGAGCCTAACCTAGAATCATGCATCGAAACAGGTTAAAAACATTTTCCGGCTTTTTGAAATCAGTAACTTACGGGTACATCAGACTACATCAAGTAAACTGTTAGGGGACATTTGCGAGTAAGCCTAACCTAGAATCATGCATCGAAACAGGTTAAAAACATTTTCCGGCTTTTTGAAATCAGTAACTTACGGGTACATCAGACTACATCAAGTAAACTGTTAGGGGACATTTGCGAGTAAGCCTAACCTAGAATCATGCATCGAAACAGGTTAAAAACATTTTCCGGCTTTTTGAAATCAGTAACTTACGGGTACATCAGACTACATCAAGTAAACTGTTAGGGGACATTTGCGAGTAAGCCTAACCTAGAATCATGCATCGAAACAGGTTAAAAACATTTTCCGGCTTTTTGAAATCAGTAACTTACGGGTACATCAGACTACATCAAGTAAACTGTTAGGGGACATTTGCGAGTAAGCCTAACCTAGAATCATGCATCGAAACAGGTTAAAAACATTTTCCGGCTTTTTGAAATCAGTAACTTACGGGTACATCAGACTACATCAAGTAAACTGTTAGGGGACATTTGCGAGTAAGCCTAACCTAGAATCATGCATCGAAACAGGTTAAAAACATTTTCCGGCTTTTTGAAATCAGTAACTTACGGGTACATCAGACTACATCAAGTAAACTGTTAGGGGACATTTGCGAGTAAGCCTAACCTAGAATCATGCATCGAAACAGGTTAAAAACATTTTCCGGCTTTTTGAAATCAGTAACTTACGGGTACATCAGACTACATCAAGTAAACTGTTAGGGGACATTTGCGAGTAAGCCTAACCTAGAATCATGCATCGAAACAGGTCAAACTACTTTTGAAGAAAAATATTGTTTTTGGGTTTTTTAGGAATGACATATATTTATTCTATTATTTATTTACATGACATGGTTTAAATACAACATTTTTATTTCTTTAAGTTACATTTTTATTTAAAATAAAATTTCTTACATTTAGCTAATACAATTTAAATAAATTAATATCTGAAATCTTGCTTGCTTTCCAGTCGAGGATGCTTTTCACGAGATAGTAGTGTCGCTGTCATAACACCTTCGCGATTTTGCTCTAATACGCGTTTTGATACATTAGCCAGTAATTGAACATGTCTCTCAGTTCCCTGAATGTGGACCGGAATTTTAGGGTCACTCCATGGACACTCATTGCTTTGTAGATATTGTACTAGATGTTCATGAGGAATATTTAGCGTAAAGGCTGGTTCGGATATATTTGAATAATCATCCATATCTATCATATTAGTATAGTCGGTGCATTCGAAATTTATTTCGGGTGTTTTGTAATCTCTCAATTGCGTCAGGTCTTCCACATTATTACGGTAATATAAGATTTTTCTTATAGCTGAATCTCGTATTTCCTTTTTATTATCAAACAACATTGCTAATAAAATATTTTCTGAGTGAGCATAGTATGCGTTTTCTTTAGCAACATTGTTCACAATTTGTCTCAAATTCGAGTCTAAATATTGCGTCCAGCTAATAAATTTATAAAATAATATACTACCATACACCACAGAGTTGTAATATTTAATGTTAAAGTACATTGGAATATATACTTTCATTACGTAGTTTGCCAGAATTTTCAAATTTTTGGAAGGCTTATTAGTAGTTACATATAACCGAAGTAACCTACTAGCCTTCGTGAGCCAACGGGAATGTGCTATTGGCCCTGGTTTCATGTTAGCTAAGTCTGTCGATACTTCTCCAGAAGCAACTGCTTTAGCTATTTTTATTAAATAACTTGAGTCAGTTGTCGATTCAGCAGGACTTATATCAGCCAAATTTTCAAGTGGGATTGTTTCAAAGTCTTTTACCGGCTGGAAGTATATAGGAAAAAATAAATTATATTGAATTTGAACATAGGGTATTAAAAATAGTAAATATGTTATAACTCACCGGTATATTTTCGCATGTTTCAATTTGTTTGCTTAATATTCCAGTTTTTGTTCGTGGTCCAGTGGTCAATGATTTTTCCAAATAGTTAAATAAATGGCGAAGTGGAAGTTCGTTAAAGTGGAGAAGACACACAAACCAATGCAGTGGCCTGTTTAACTGAATTTCAAATCGACGTAAAATACCATTTTTTACGCCTGTATTTGCTGGTTCACCATCGCAACATATGCCTATCAAAGAATCGAGAGCTATTCCTTTATCGGCGAAAAACTCGTTCAATTTGATTACTTTACTTTCCGAATCTTCATTTTCCAATTTTGTGTAACCCAACAATTGGCCATTCGGTTCCTTTAAAATAACTAAATGCGCTTCTTTAATCATTCGTGGGTGAAACTTCTTATCGATTTTTTCCATGGTAATAGAATCATTTTTTCGGCCGTCGAATGAAAATGCTATTAATTCAGAAGAATCATATCGTTTGTGTAGAGCTTGCCTATTTTTCTGCCTCTCGCGAACGCTTTTATTTTTGTCCATAATGACAGGATTGCCCCAATCATCCGTTATGCCCAGGTCACGCAGGATTGCCGTCACCACGCCAGACCCAACTCTATCAGAAATTGCAAATCTGTCGCACATTAAGGCATAGCTTGGAGCCTTATATCTTCGACTATATGGACCACGTTTTATATGAGAAGTATTTTGTAAACTTTCCGAACTGCTTTTAAAATCAAAATCAACATCTGGAGTATATGTGTCACCTGGAGTAATATCGCTAGTTATTGTAGATTCTGATACTTCATCTTCAATTTTTATAATATATTCTGGTATCGTAGATTTCCTCTCATTATGTTGATCCATCATAAACGCTTGTAAATGTTTTGGGATCAATCCACAAGAACACAGTAATCTTCGCAAATCGCATTTGCATTTTCCAATATAAAATAATTCTTTCGTGGATTCTACAAACTCCTGAAATGATGCTTGGGTAGACTTGCTTTTATTTGTACTTTTATATTTATCAATCAATCGGTTCAATTTTCTAGCGATACTTCGTTTCTCCATAATTGGAATATCAATTTTTTCCCACGTCTGAATCAATTTCGTTACCACATTTGGAGTAAATGTTTTATATGAAAACATTTTATTTTGTTTTTTTGATTCTTCGGCCAAATAAAAATAATACCTGATAATTTCCATACTTGTCGGAAGATTTACACCAGTAAATTCTTTTGCTTCCCCAAATGTAATTTGATCATGCGAGCGCATATGATTCAAATTACTAGCACTTGCGCCTGAATTTAAATAAGAATTCGCCATTGATACTTCACGTCTAACTGGAGAACTGAATGAAGATTTATGCGAATTTTCCACATTAATATATTCTTTTCGAAAGTTCGAGAATTATTATAAAAAAATACTAGCGCACTCTGATGGAAATAAATAACAACAAACTAAACCCGATTTAAAAACCCCCGTACAAACTATTAAAAGAAATATAACTTACAATTGGAATTATTCACATGCCTAAATTAATATATTAACTTATTAAAAACAGTATTTTATTGAAAATTTCGCTGGCTAAAGAGTTATTTGCGATATATGGTTTTGAAGTCAAAATTCATTTAAATAACACATATATTTCATATGAAAAGGTGCCCATATCGCTTAATTTTACTTCTATAATGATTTGGCCCGCTCTAATATATATATATATATATTATATATATATATATATATATACATTGTGGATAATGTGTATATTTATGTACATTTCGGTGCTAGGCGTGCATTGTTTATAAAGAGAACTACTAAGTAGTGTTATCATAAAATGTAGAATGTTTTTGTGAAAAATAAATGCTTCTAAATGGTCCATATAATTTTGGTTCATTTCTATGGTATTTTTTATTCGCACCCGTTCAGGCGACTAGTGCCCTCTGTAGAGAGGGGCTTCAACTAACACAGGAATGTGGCAACGAAATATGGCCCGAGAGAGCGATCTATATACTCTTCTTTATCTATGTGTCAGTTCCAGTGTAGAGAGGACAGATTAACATTAACGAGAAGGTTCGAAGCCCGGAAATGGAGTAGAAATGAACCATTTAGTACATATTATAAGAAACAGATGGGGCTAGGAACAAAATTGCGTTTGAAGAAACGGAAATGATAGCGTATTTGATCGAAGGGTTTTTTAATGCGACATTGCAAGCCCAGGCGAAAATGCGCGAATTCAAGAGTACGTCGGCATTGCTGAGAGTGATGAATGAAATAACGCCATATAAACGGGGCATTTCGCAGAATATGAGCTGGAAACCACCGCCGTCTGTAGTAATACCGAAGGTAGTGGAATGTTTTAATTGCGGTGAAAGCGGCCACAGGGCGATAGGATGCTCGAAGCCTAGGAGACAAAAAGATGCATGTTACTCGTGTGGAAAGTTGGGACATTCGCTGCGAGACTGTCCGCTAAAAGCATCTACAGAGAGTTCGCAAAAGGCATTGACAGACTATTCGCCAAAGGCATCTACAAGCAGAGAAACGGATAGTACCACGAATAGGACGCATTATATAAATCACATCCCGCGATAATAGAGTGCGCACGAAGGTTGGCACTCATGAATTTGACAGTATCGTAGACACGGGCACGGGGAGTTATCTCCGAACAAATGTATATTACCCTGTTTTGGAAAGAACTACTATTTTTAGCGAAAAAAGATGTCGCTACTAGTTTCAAAACAAGTAAAACGTCAAAATTACTCGCTTAAATTTGGTCGCCTCGTCTCAAATTTTCTCTCAAAGTTTGTTGTTCGCATTTGTAATTAATTGTATTCAAGTAAGCATTTATGTGAAATTTAATATGGCAAAATGTAACGCACCAACTTGTGGTAACTTCAGAAATAATATAAAAATGCACTTCTTTCCGGCATGTTACGTTTATTAGATGTTCTTGGGAATACAAATTGCAGCAGAATCTAGTGACTAAGGATAGGAGTGTCTGGATGCCGAGGGCATGTAAAATGTATGACACATCCATTATATGTTGAGGGAATTAAGAAGGATAGACAAACAATGCAATAATTTAAGGTATAAATTGCAACAGAGAAATATTCTTAACATTCCATCCAAAAGGACTTCTGCACTGTTCTATTGACACAATCGAATCATAAGAAATTCAAGATTTTGTAGAATGCAACTTTATTAATGATTGATTGGAAAACAAAATAACTATCAAATGCAAAGTTAATGTTAAAAAAGAATGACTTATAAATGAATTTTAATTCTTGGAATTTAGTTTTCTATCAATTTTGATATCAATATATATATTTTATGTCTGTAGGATTTAACTTTTTAAATTTGTTCATTATTTGTCATTTCTTCTAATTATACTATTCTATTATCTTTAGTATATACTCTATATACTACATACTTAGACTCTATACTTTTCTCTTCTCTTTTTAATATATTATTATTAGTCATTAAGAAATTAATATTAGTCAGTTCGTGTAAATTCATTATACTTATGAAAACTTTTACAATATTTCTGTGTAGTTGCTATATATTATTGATCATTCAGTAATTCATATTGATCGTTCCTTTTAAGTTAAACATTCTATTGTAAATGCTTTTACACAATCTCTGTCTAGTTGTTATATATTATTGAACATTAAGTAATTCATATTGATCGTTCCTTTTAAGTTTAACATTTTATTGTAAATGCTTCTACAGAATCTCTGTCTAGTTGTTATATATTATTGATCATTAAGTAATTCATATTGATCGTTCCTTTTAAGTTTAACATTCTATTGTAAATGCTTTTACACAATCTCAGTCTAGTTGTTATATATTGATCGTTCCTTGTAAATTTATCATACCATTCTGAATACTTTTTTTAGTTACTTAAAATTGTAAAATTATAATACTAATTATTATGTATATATTGATTATTACATTTATAAAAATTTTAATTGTTATGTAAAAATGTTTGTGATATATTGAAAATATATTTTGTACTTCGTATGTTTTTTTTCTCATTTCCAATATAAGAAATTATTTAGGTTTTCTTATTTTGAATTACGTATGCGAACCATATCTAGGAATAATACCAGCGGTTGATTTATATACTGAACAAGTGCTGCCTCCTTCAGATCGCTAAAAATATTAAAATGGAGGTAATGTCAAATGGCCTCAGATAGCGATCTATTTATGTTTACTTATCTAAGGACAACGGGATCGCCTATATCAGTGGTAACGACAGACACAGCGCCAACTGGCGTGGAGTGGGACAAGTGTGGCGCGGATGGCAGTTTTGAGGGCATAAATGGCGCCGAAGTGAATGTTCTAGGAATTGTGACAACGAAGGCTACGTTTGTGCAGTTTGGTGTAACAGTGACAATTAAATTTTATGTAGTGCCGAGTGGAACCATGTCTACGATGTGTTTATTGGGTAGGGACATGGTGCAACATTGTGAGTTAAATGTGAATATCGGAAGGACAGTGGACATTAGTTATAAAAAGGATAGTGAGAATGACATTTTTCTAATAGATACATTTAATGAGTCCGAGCCGAGTGTCAAAATTTGTGAAAGTGTAGACTTAACCTCACGTATGCCAATGGAAAAGGTTATGCGCGAGGAATATCTCTAAGCCGAACAGCCTACAGAGCCGGCTGTAAAATTTGAGTTAAATATAGTCTTGAAAGCGAGAGCGAAACCATTTCATGTAAGCCCGCGTAGAATATCATATTATGAAAGGGGCCAAGTAGAAGTGATAATACAAAATTGGTTGGATCGGGGAATAGTACGATGAAGCTGTTCAGAGTATTGTTCACCAATTGTAATAGTTCGCAAGAAAGACGGTAATATTCGGCTGTGCATCGATTGCCGCAAACTCAACAAGAGGGTAGTACGAAACCCTTATCCGAGTCCAAGAATTGATGATTGTTTAGACGCTCTTAAGGGTAAGCGACATTTTACGAGACTGGATTTGAAGGATGCATTTCATCATCTAGTGATCAACGAGTGTAGTCGAAAATATACTAGTTTTGTGTGTGTGCAGGGTCAGTTCAAATGTATAAGAATTCCTTTTGGATTTTGTAGCAGCCCTAGTGTATTTTTGCGATATATAAATGAAGAGCTGCGGGAGTTTATTGTCTGTGGTGAAGTGATGGCTTACATGAACATGCTGAAAGTGTTGCGTATGAATAAGTTACAGTTAAGGTTAGATAAGTGTAGTTTTAGGTTTGATAATATTGAGTTCTTAGGATACTATATAGACGATAAAGGCATAAGGCCTAGTGGTAAGGTAAGTAAGGGCATATTCCAATATAGCGGCGATACTGCTCGTAGTAATGATTGGGTTTACAAAGTTTTGTAAGCTTTACCCCTGTAAGTCAACTAGGGCGAAAGAGGTGATTGACCATTTAACACAGTATTTTTTTCAGTACTATAGTACTCCTTGGTCATTGACAATGGAAGGGGGTAGTTGTTTCACATCAGATGTTTTTAAACAATTTTTAGAGGACCAGGAGCACCATAAGCCAATGGACAGGCAGAGAGAGCCAATCGGACCAATGTACCAATACTGGCAAAATATGTAGAGTATCCAGTTAGATGGGATACGGTTTTGCATAAGGTAGAGTATGCTATAAACAATACTGTGTACAAAGCTACTGCAGAAACACCTAGTGTGTTACTCTTTGGAATTAGCCAAAGAGGGGAGGTACAGGATGCAGTTAAGGATTATCTAATGCAGAAGGAGGAAGCATTACGGGAACAAGCAGCCTTGAAGATTGAGAGGAGCCCAGGATGTACTAAGGAATATCATGATCGTGGCAAGCCTCTAGCAAAAAGGTACCAGGTAGCAGACTTGTTAATGATCTCCAATGTAGATACCACTATCGGAGTGAACAAAAAGTTGTTGCCCAAGTTCAAGAGGCCTTACCAGATCACAGAGGTGTTAGATCATGACAGGTACATCGTGGAGGACATGCCTGGGTTCCAAGTAGCACAGACCCGTATGAAGACGGTGGTGGATACTAGCCGGATGAAGCTATGGTTCAGGCCAGGAGATGGAAGTAAACCAACTGGAGCGAATAGTGGACATGGTTCAGGAACGGATGGGTCAACCGAAGAGAGTGATAGTGGAGTGACAATTAAAGTGAGTGACAATGACAAAGACATGGTAATAATGGGCATGTATAGTAGTGTGAAATGTAGTGTTATGGTCAATAAGATAGAGTTAAGTTAATATTCATTTAAATGTTTTATATTTGATATGTGTAATGTTTGTTATTTTCGATTTAGATTATTGCAGATAAATTTTAAGTCTCATCAGTCGGGGACGACTGTGAGGTCAGGAATGGCCGAACTGTAAGTTTATGTAGTTTGGTGAGTAACTGTAAGATTATGTAGTTTGATTAGTTTGAATGTAACGGCAGGTAGTGCGGGTCGGTTGGATAGATGGCTCTGGGTCTCGAGAGAATGTCCGATCCCGTAATAGCCGGCAGGATGTATGTATGGTTTGGTAAGGATTACTGAGAGTGGATAGTGACAGTGTGAATACAGGATTGATAGATATACGTTGAGTTGAAGGTTAAGTGAAGAGTAATAAAAGTTTGTAATGAGTTAGTGAATATACCGAATTATTGAAGAGTTAGTTGCATTTTAATAAGAATTTCAAGTCATTCAAAAGAAATTTACAAGCTTAAAATATGTATATATATATATATATATATATATATATATATATATATATATAGATGTTGGGTCTATATATAATTTATATTTATAATTAAAAGAACTGAATAACGTGTATATAAGTTTAATTTATAATAACAAAACAAGTATAAAGCATCTCACTGATATAAAGTGTATTTAGGTTAGGTTTATATCTTCACTCTTCCAAGGGTTGATGCACCAGAGGGTGAGATTGCATTTTTCGCATCCCTCGAGCCCACGCAAGTGTTGCACGATGCGCCGTCGCCAACTTGACAGTTTGCGACGTTCTTCACACGCAACGTGTCTATGAAGTTGGTATTGGCGTTTTTGGTTGTTACTCTCGCCGCTAGGTGTAGGGAGACGCCATATCATTCCCCCCAAGATGAAAGTTAGCTATCTGTCAGAATAGAAATAAGGTTAAATGTGTGTTGTCAAATATTGAACGCAACTTTCTTTTTGGCTGTTTTCTTTGTAGGTTCCTTTGATGACTCCCAGGGATGTGTATGAAGTGGTTGAGAAAGTGATTCGTAATCTGCATCTGTTTTATTTATATATGCTGGTTTTAGCCTTTCAACAGCGAAGTTCTTTGCGGCCCCATTAACGCGAAGTTTGTAAATCCTATCAGAAACTCGCTCAAGTATTTCATAGGGTCCTCTGTAAGGTGGTTCCAAGGGCTTTCGTACATGATCTGCTCTGAGGAATACATGTGTGCATGTGCCCATATCTTTCAAAATGAAAATCTTGGATTTGTTGTGGTGGGCTGTTGGAGTTGGTTTCAATGCACACATGATTCGGCGATGATTCTCTAGAAAGACCTGTGGATTCTGTGAGTTATTAGATGTATTGAAAAAATCACCTGGAAGTCTCAATGTG